ACATACAGAATTTTAGCACTTATCCCACTATCGGTTCTATACTGGCCTGAGAAAACAAGCAAACAAACAAACTACAGCATAACAGGAGAAGAAGAGACCATCTTACCAGGGTTCACCGTGAAGGTACTGAAGTTAGCAAATGCCTGGGCAGGTGGGACGGTGCCCAAGAAGCCGCGAACGGCCATCCTGCCCAGGCTGAACATTAGGTTCTCTCCTGGGGAAGAAAGAAACAGACTTCATTCAAAACATGAATAAACAGTTTGTTTGTTTGTTTATTTATCCAGGAAATACCTGATGGCATTTTTCAATGGTTCCTGGGGGGGAAAACCTCAACAAAATCTATTTACAAAATGAACTAAAGATTAACAAAGGTATCAAAAAGTTACGCAGATTACAAATTGATACAAAATCAAAGTAACTTAAAATAACACACATGATACATAAGATCATACTACCAAGATAATAGAAACAATATTGTATAACGTAGAACCAAGGTGGAACATAAGGTTGTAACAGTGTGGATGAAACAGCCATCTTCCTACGACTACATCTGATTATTCAATAAACCTATTCCCTGACATTATCAGTAGTTAAGCAGCTAAGATTATGGGAGAAAGTTCTGCTGTTGATAAAGTAACTTACGAAGCCCCCCTCCCCACCACCGCTGCAAAGCTAGCGAGTCAATCGGGTTGTCTGCCTGTGTAGATGTGTTGACTGTGCAGTTAATTTACTTACTGACCTCCGTAGCGTTTCTATACTTTGTGTAAAAGTTTACTCTGCCAACAAACATGAAAGTACTTCTTTGTGAATTATTATGACCTGCAGAAAATTTGTTCGGGGTAAAAAAAATCCTGGCCCTCCCCAAAAACTACCCTTGGATTTCGCTGAAAAAAAAATACTCCAGATCGCGGAATTTCCACCTAAACGTAGGGTAAAACTCCTGTAGTTACTGCTAGAAATGCCTGTGAATGTTTTAGGAACATCGTAATATCTGTAAAACTTACAGAACAGTTGTTGATTCAGTCACAGACACAAGAAGATTTCTCGGGGCTCTGTGGCACGATCCAACTTCCTTGGCTGTCGGAGTGCAAATGGTACAGATCTCTCCTGATTCGTTGCTAAGTGCGCTGCGCGGAGTCCACTTACATTCGGGCGGGGGTGAATATGGCAATGCGGGAAATATTTTTACCACATACCGATTATTTTGACCTTTTAAAATCACAGTTAGTATTATATATCTTATATAAATTATATAAAAACTATTAGTTTTGTACTATGAATAGTTCTTGTCTAAGTGTTCTAGTTGGCAAGAAATCTAAGTTACCTACAGAAACGAGTGGAACGTTCTAAAATTTGCATATCCGGGGATTCCTTAGCAACGGTGCGACGGAACCGCGAAATGTAAACAAAAGTCGAAGTGTGGGAGGGGGGCGAAAAATTATGATATGATTAACTAAAATTTAAGAATTTCACATCACTTTTACCACAAAAAATACTCGGGAAAACGGAATGAAATGAAAGATAGACTGTAAAGATGAAAGCTTTGCTATATGAAATAAAGAGAAACAACATCTTTAGTCACGTCAAGCAGTGATAATACAAGATAAAGCAGTGTATTTTACTTAATCATTTGCTGTATTTTTCTCTTTACACTTGCGCTTTATTTTTCTTTGGAGGTGCCGGTGTGTCTTAGATTACACCTTGTTTTATTAATTAAATATTATCCCATCTGTTGTTCAAGATCTCTACTACATAACCTCATGTCTTGACATCTAGTCTGTTACTAATAAACGTGTTACTCTGGTTTGTTGCTCTTCGTTTAGTGAGTTCAAATACGGAAACGAAAGTGGCATTACTCGAAGGATGAAACAAAAAGTCACCTGTACATGATTTCATATGGTGCACATGCTCTTAGATTGTATAGTATATCAATCACCAGCGTTGTTTCGACTAGCTAAACGCCGTAATGTTACTGAAACTACGAAGGCCCATAGGTACACTTAGCATTTTTTATTCCACTTTGTATTTTCTATGGGCACTTTGTATTTTCTATGGGCACTTTGTATTTTCTATGGGCACTTTGTATTTTCTATGGGCACTTTGTATTTTCTATGGGCACTTTGTATTTTCTATGGGCACTTTGTATTTTCTATGGGCACTTTGTATTTTCTATGGGCACTTTGTATTTTCTATGGGTACTTGTTTTTTTCTGTGTGTACTTCGCGAAGTTTTTTTGGTGGCTGGCGAAGCGACATTCATTTTGCTTTGATGTGGATGCTCCCATTTTTATTATGGCGGTATATTTCTATTTACCATTCTAGGCAACTAAATTTATTTTAAACCTATTAAAACATAATATACTTTACACTTTGAGAAAATTTTGTTTGTTTGCATGCAATGTTCCACACGTTTATTAATTAGGGGTATCAAATAGTGATTATTACATCCTGGCATAGATTATGTTAATGTAGACACAGGACCATACTATTTTCGGGGGTGCTAGGACATATTGTTCAGACTTCCGTCAACATTTCCGTAGCGATATATGGTAAATCACTTCCTCGCTGAATGTTAATTACTCCTTTGTATTAAAAAAAGCCCGTAATCTAAAGCGAGGGTTCATTGCCAATGTTGGGAAAAATTGCATTGCGGTTTGCTGCCTTCCTACCAACCGCGAACGTTCATCACATGCAGTTTACGTAGGAAATATGGACAGTATGCCGTTTCAGTAAATAACCTGACATCTAAAATTGTTGAAATATTCACAGAAACTCAAATTACACTCTAGGTTGACCGTCTAATCGTGTGGTAAGCTACATGTGTGCTGTAGTGACATGAATTGGCACTTTTGTGGGGAGGGGGGCGTCCCAACAAAGGTCAACGACCTCCATGGCTTACGGCCTATGTTTCACGCTTTTGCACTTCATAAATGAACAATTTTAGATGTCAGGTTATTTACTGAAACGGCATATTGTCCACATTTCCTGCGTAAACTGCATGTGATGAACGTTCGCGGTTGGTAGGAGGGCAGCAAACCGCAATGCAATTTTTCCCCAACATTGGCAATGAACCCTCGCTTTAGATTACGGGCTTTTTTTAATACAAAGGAGTAATTTACATTCAGCGAGGAAGTGATTTACCATATATCGCTACGGAAATGTTGACGGAAGTCTGAACAATATGTCCTAGCACCCCCGAAAATAGTATGGTCCTGTGTCTACATTAACATAATCTATGCCAGGATGTAATAATCACTATTTGATACTCCTAATTAATAAACGTGTGGAACATTGCATGCAAAACAAACAAAATTTTCTTAAAGTGTAAAGTATATTATGTTTTAATAGGTTCAAAATAAATTTAGTTGCCTGGAATGGTAAACAGAAATATACCGCCCATAATAAAAATGGGAGCATCCACATCAAAGCAAAATGAATGTCGCTTCGCCAGCCACCAAAAAAACTTCGCGAAGTACACACAGAAAAAAACAAGTACCCATAGAAAATACAAAGTGCCCATAGAAAATACAAAGTGCCCATAGAAAATACAAAGTGCCCATAGAAAATACAAAGTGCCCATAGAAAATACAAAGTGCCCATAGAAAATACAAAGTGCCCATAGAAAATACAAAGTGCCCATAGAAAATACAAAGTGCCCACAGAAAAAACAAGTACCCATAGAAAATACAAAGTACCCACAGAAAATACAAAGTACCCATAGAAAATACTAAGTACCCACAGAAAAAAACAAGTACCCATAGAAAATACAAAGTACCCATAGAAAATACAAAGTGGAATAAAAAATGCTAAGTGTACCTATGGGCCTTCCTATGAAACCTCGCATTCTTAGAGATCTTTCGATTTCTACTGGCACAATTTACAGTGCTACTGAGTTGCTCGTAACTTGTCAAGTTTTAGCAAATGCGAATTATGTGACCCAAGACTTACATGCTTATATTTGTTTTGCCTTGAGCTGTGGGAGCTGAGTTTTTATTCAGATCACCTGGGTGATGTAACTATCCTAGCTTACATCAGCCCCGAAATGCGGTCGGCATTTGAGACATTTCACTACATAGGAAAGGGTCAGATTTCTCTGTGTTGATCGTCTGTAGAGGAGACCTCTAGTGAGCAAGGAAAGAATTGCAGTATTATTTGGGCTGCTGATAGCACACTAGACTGAGACTAGAAATAAAGTGAGGAAGGAAGGGAGGGGAGGAAAGAATCAGAAATAAATGAGTTTGTGAGTTATATATATATAGTGTGTGAGTAAGCAAGTGAGTGAGTGATCGAAAGTGAGTGGGTGGCTGTGGGAGTAAGTGAATGAGTGTGTGTGTGTGTGAGAGAGAGGGTAAGTGGGTGAGTGAGTGTTTGAGTGGGGAATGAATGGGTGAGTTGGTGGATGAGTGAGTGAGTGATTGATTGAGTGGGTGGGTGGGTGAGTTGATGGGTGGATGAGTGAATGATGAGTGAGTTAGTGGGTGAGAAGATTAGTGATTGAGTGGGTGAATGAGAGTGAGTGGGTGCATGGCTGAGTTTGTGTGAGTGGGTGAGTGATTGAGTGAAAATTATTACCTTTCAGTGCTCTGATGACCTTGATGTACAGCATTCAATGCCATGAATTTGTGTTTCATATAATTTGTGGCTATCCAGGTTGAATTAACGGTTCCCCTCTGAATTAAAACTTGCACCCAGAGGGCTCCAGTGAATTGTCTCCCTGAATTTTTGCCTGCCTGTCTCTTAGTCCCTTCCACTGTTTGGTTTCAGTAACCCTCTCACTTAAATCCTATCCTGATAATGTATACCTACTATATAGTAATTTAGCATCTGTCAACCAAAAATGACTAAGACAAGGTTGTTGGGAAGAGTTTTTTTCTTTAATTGTGATAGGCAAACATGATAATTGACACTTCACACATGTAACAGTCAAATGTGGATTCCAAATTTTAAGTATTCAAACAACAACATGTATGACTTTACTATAATGACATATTAGCTGTAAGTCTCACTGTGCTGGTAGTAATGTTACTATTACTGTACATTGTATCATATGCGTACATACAAATGAGTCTTCTTTAATTGCTCCAGCTATATTATATTTTAACACAAGCCATGTTGTTGAATGCTTCAGATATGTACAGTCAATCCGCAATCCAAATTAGATGTAAGTGTAGATGTAAGTCTCACTGTACTGTGAGTAATGTAATATTACATTGTATATATACATGTATATATGTGTACATACAAACGATTGGGAAAAAATGAGTGAAAAAAATTGCATTCTAAACACCAAATCAAACTTTAGAACCAGTTTCGAATTTTGGAACCACGTTCGAAATAGGACTTCGACAACATGGGTGAATGGCCGCGCCGCTTTGGAACACACCACCCGGGTGGAGAGGGGGCTCCCACAATACAGTACATAAAAAAGTCAGCAATATAAGCAAAATTTCCTTCTACCCATCCTTTCCCAATAAAGGCATAAATGGTAGGCCAGAACATCATGAGGCAAACATATTGAATTTGCTTGCAAATGTTACATTTCTAGTTCGGGGATTACATTTACTACTGGCATTTCTGTATCTGTATCTGTATCTGTATCGCTGCTATAACGCGTACGGGTCTCCGTCGTAACACACAAGCCGTCTGTGTCACCTGGAGTGATGACAACGTTACCAGTACCGCGTACGTTTATCTGGTTTACCCGTTGCGTTTGGAATGTCTGTTGGACTGTGTATCCAACAGCTCCTTGCTTCTCTTCATCGTCGTCTCTTCCGCCATACAGGAGATCATCGACATCTTCTATGAAGCCGAGGATTTCGTGATAGACGATGCCGTCCTCTGAAAATGCCTTGTTGATCTGATCCATGCTGTAAGAATAGAATTCTTCTCTGTGTTCCCTCAGAGCACGAGCGCTGAGCACCCACTCTTCGGCAGTGGTTCCTGGGCTGACGTCGTCGAGCGCATTGATGAGGATGTTCTCCATTGTCTCGAGCATCTGCCGGCAGCTCGGCTTGTCGCCCTGCTCGCTTCGCACGCAGATGTTGACCGCACGGCCGTCTGGGGAGAGCTTGATAAGACTTTCCACGTTGATGTCAAAACACTTGGCTCCGTCTCTCCACAGCAGCGGGCGGTTCTTCAGTTCCCTCATCAGGCGGGTCTGCACACGGGGGAAGAACGCGGAGGAGAACATGTCGGTGGTGTCCGCACACTGGACTTGCTTGCCAAAGTAGACGGTCTTGGTAGGGTTCGCAGTCGGCTGCCACTTGTCTGGAGGCATGGTCTTTGTCAGCAGGCCGGGGATGATGAACTCCTGTCCGTCAAAGGAGTGGCAGAGCTGGAACTCTTGCAGAAGGGTGATCAGGAGATCCACATCGGCGACATCTTGGAACACTCTCTGGATTTCCTCTTTCATGACGATGTCGTTGACGGTTCTCAGATGTTGGATGGGGAAATTTTCTGGAGCCATCACTTTGCCGAAGACATTCGTGTAGAGCCAATTTGGCTTCAGGACAATGATGGGGTCAGCATTTTGCAGAGGGACGAACAAGATCTAAAAGGTTATAAAAAGAAATGCATGGGTGAGTATTGCAAATGTTGCTTCTTAAATGTTTATTAACTTTTTGATAGCAACATCGAACACAGACGAACACCATACAAATAAGTTTCTAATATACGTTAAAATGAAGATCTGAAAATGATTGCAACGTTAACTGGTTGATACTTTACTAAACATTGGCCATGCAGAGGAAGTTTGGTTGGCAGTTGACCAACACTAACGTGCCGAAGGGCAAAGACTTGCTATGTACACCTCTCGAATAAACGTACCGGTACGTTTATTTTTTTTCGCCTCAAAATCCACCCGGTACATTCTTATTTTAGACGGTACGTTTATTTCTTTTTTCATAATCGGAAAAGTTCCGGGAAAATTTACACTGCAAGTGATGCATATACTCCTCAAAAACCTGTAAGAATACAGGCTGTTGACTTTGATAATTTTCCAGGGGGCACATTTATTTTGGGGGTATATTTATTAGGTTTTGAAGATTTGTTGGGGGAATCATATTCAAGGGGGTACGTTTATTCAGGACCTGTCAATAGTTGCAAGTGACAAGGTCATATAGACGCACACATATATACACCATGAGAACACATTTTTGGAGCATAGACGTTGCTTACATGTAAATTTTTAAAATTTTCCGGGGGGTACTTTTATTCCAGGGGGTACTTTTATTCGAGAGGTGAGAGTAGGCTGCTGGTGATCGCGCGGGATTACAGGTGAACTAAGTTGATATTTACCTCTCCGAGATGAGCCAAGTACTGCGAAGACGTCTTCAGGAGATCTTCATCGACAAAACGGTCGATCTCCTTCGCTGCCTCCTTGTACTCAGCCCATTGCAAGACAGGACACTTCGGGCTGCACTTCTCCTTGGCCCATTTCGGGAGTCGTTTAAGGATCTCAGCACACAGCTTGGGAATGTCCCGCTGATGCTACACAATGAAAGTGGACAATCAGGGTCATAGCTGCATTACAATTTTTGTTGAGTAATTCTACAAGAAATGAACACTCGGGCTTATGAACATGCACTGTAGGTTTGGATAGTGGAATTCAGATACATGATCTTTTTTGACAAGTTTTTAATCCTTTTGCAAAGCTATGTATTGATTTTGAGTGTTATTCATTCACATTGTATGCCTTGTTTGTGGTAACCACAGTAGTACTGTATGTGCTTAAAAGATACAGGTCTGTTTCCAAATATTTTACATAAGATAATCAAATTGAAATCAAAATAATCAATCTGTTCAAAACGACTCACTTCCAGAAGCGTAGTCTTCAGTCTTGCCAGAAGGTCTTTAAGACGCCTCATGTCAGTTTTACGTGTCTTCCTGCAGTCGAGGAGAAACACTTCATCTGAAATGTTCAGGTGATCCTTGAACGTTGACGTCATCAGCTCAAGGATGAAAGATGCTCGCTGACGTCCTCCTGGAAAAAACATATACCACGTATGTAAAGGAGTAGCTAACCTAATTTGTTGGGAAAATTGTTGAGAGTATATAGTGCATGGCCCTAATAACCTTTCAGCAGCCCTTGTTTTATTAGTAGACAGTCTCAGCAGTAGTGAGTACATGGCAGGAATTACTAGTATGATGTAACATAACAAACCTGTATCAGTCTGGTCCGCGTGACTGGCCACTAGGATGACGTAAGGCTTGCTCTTTGTGTTGCAGGACTTGATGAAACACAGCCACCAGTGGACCTGTGACAAGCAGTTGAGTTAATATCGAAATCAGTTGAGATGTATTAGAACAGTATTATCTTATAGTAATATTTAAATACCCGCGTTAAGTCACCTTTTTCTTCTGTGTGTGGATATCGTCCATGATGTTGTACAGCACAATGAAGATGGTGTTCTCTGCATCCATGAACATGCTGTGGGTTACCAAGTACTCCGACTGTCCAGCGAAGTCCCACACACTGACCTGCCCCACACCGGGGATGTTGGTTGTTCTCACATTCACACCTGGGGTGGGCTCGTGTGGCTGATCGCCTGGAGTAATCCGATCTCGAAAGAAGGCGATGAAAGGTCCCTACATGAAGTTATAAAATATCCAGTTAGAATATTTCCAGTCCTATCGGTGAAGGAAGTCCTGTTTAATAAACGTTCAAGATGTCAAGAGGCTGAATTTGATTACTGTGAAGTTGATATTTTTACTTGTCCAACGCCATATATCGAACCTTGGATTGATTAAAAAGACTATAGTGAAGAAACAGTTTAGATATATTAATAAGACATATACGGTACAATGGAATGATTCTATGGAAAAGCGGAACAGATCTAATTGAAATGTAATTCTTGTTTGAAATTGTACCGTTTGCAGACTTTCCACCAGAGTAGATTTGCCAGCTTCCTGTGGTCCACAGAGGCACAGTTTAAACCTGTCGACTTTCACCCCGCCAGTCTGTTTCATCAGTTCGTGGTAGGAAGCCTCAGAAGCCAGATTCTGAATGGTCAATTTAAACAACCAAACATTTAAATTTTAAAATGTAGCCTTCCTGATAGGCCTAGGCTTTTAATGTTTCAGTCAGAAAGTCAAAGTCGTAAATCAAATAGTTTTATTTGTAATGTCAAAACATAACAGAGATTTCTTGCATGCAGAATTACGGATCTATAACATCGAATGTGGCTGGCAACTTGAATGAAACTATGAAATTCAGACGAAATTGATTTGTCACTTATTACACACTTATGATTTTCTTAAAGAATTGAAAATTTTCTACGAAACTTGATCAGCCCCTGCTGTGCTTAAAGGGCCCCAAATGAAAAAAAACAAACATCAGAGAATATTCGTAAGAAAATTCAAACTCTACTACTGGATCAGTTACGGATTTTTATTTCCGGACGTTTCGAGTGACATCCATCACTCTTCTTCAGCGTCACAATTGAACAGAGAACCGATTCACTCTTATATACAAGTAACTAGAAAAACCGGTTAAACAACAAGGTCCGTAAGAAGCTTTATCATGTAAAAGAACGGTTGAAAGACATTGTTGTTTAACCGTTTTTTCTAGTTAGTGAATCGGTTCTCTGTTCAATTGTGACGCTGAAGAAGAGTGATGGATGTCACTCGAAACGTCCGGAAATAAAAATCCGTAACTGATCCAGTAGTAGGGTTTGAATTTTCTTACGAGTATCGTTTACCTGGATGTCTAACCTTCATCAACGTATCAGAGAATATTCTCAGAATAGTAGAAGTTTCACAACAATCATTGTCCCTATTATTGTTACTAAATTCTAACTACACGAGATGACTGTCTGTACTTACGTTGTCCCTCGCCTGCACATCAGTGCCATGTTGAATTAGCAGCTCCACTTCCCCAGTGTCCCCGCGCCTGCTGGCCTCAAGGAGAGCGGTCTCGTCATCCTGAGTAAAAACACAGAGAAAACAGAGAACTACTGAGAATTGGTCGATTCAGGCAAACCCTAAAAGACAGCAAGTTTCGGTTTACGAGGAAAGTGTTTTTACTGTTGACTGGGCAAACTTGTACCTGTAAAACATTTGTTTTGTGTAAAACTTAATCAAGTGCATGGCTAATGGCCGAGAATGTTCTCAATATGGTAGACGTTTCTCAACAAACATTAATTGTCCCTTAATCCTAACTAAATGAGATGATTATGATAATGATATATGTACTTACGTTTTTGTCTCTCGCCTGCACATCAGCGCCATGTCGAGGCAGCTCCACCACCCCAGTCTCTCCATGCCCGCTGGCCTCATGGGGTGTGGTCCTGCCATCCTGTGTCAACAATCAGAGAATCTATAAACTGCGGTACATTGGTTGATTCAAACAGAACCTCAAGGACATCAAGATAGAAGCTTCCGAGACTGATAAGACTCATTGGGTCAACTGTTATATTTCATGCAAATGATTATCTTATATTCAGATAATCAATGAGAAAAATGATACAATTTGCCTGTCGTAAATGTCCTCAATATCTCACGAAGGTTTAAATTCGTAAAACTCTTGTCGTGACGTAAAATAATACTAGTAATAGGGAGGTTTTTGCACTGTAGGCTCTATAAATTGATTGTGATGTGCAATGTTATACAGACTATGACTTTTTTTTAGTTTTTTTTTGTTATGCGTTCTTTGGAAAATATTGTCAAAACTATTTACCGAGCTTAAGGAAACCTCAGCGATTATAGAAGTCATGATCCTGCAGAGGTTCCAGTGGCTCTATGCCACGTTGTGTTCAAGGAATAGAGTAAGCATTTTTGCTCCTACCCATGCTAGTTTGTTGTTTATGAGTAGCTGTATCAAATCGATCTAGAACAGCTATTGCGTGGCGTAACGGATCTAGAGGAAGGTGAACTGTTCAAATTCCAAGGCCTTAAATACCTCTGCTTCAGCTTTTAAAGATTCCTGCCGGGTGTCTGTCGTGGCTTCTTCCTCAGATGTTTGAAAAGCTGTGGAACAGATCAAAGGCTTTGTGACATCCAAAGAACATTCATTCTAAGAAAGCAATGTATTGTCCAATCCAAGCAAGAAATTTGAGAACTTCAGCAGTATATACACTTAATTATTATGGGGATGGAGATGGGCTGAAATATGTTGTATTTGCAAATGTCGACCTTTCTGTAGAAAGGGGAAGTTCTTTACCTGACTCCTCTAACTTCAACCTTTTGCGACGTTGGTCTCTTGCATAAACGTCGACGTCTGCCTTTTCGACAGCTTGCCTGATTTCTTCACGCTCCAACGTTGGAGCCCTACTTGTCTTTTGAGCTCGCAGATCTTCAATTGTCCGTGTCAGCCTGGTGTTGGCTTCCTGTTGTCTTTGGAGTTCTTTATTCTGGTCAGCGAGCATTTTTGCCGTTGTTTCAATCTCCTGGGTGAGCTTGTGGACGTCAGTATGGAGAATCTCAATTGTTCTCTTCGCCTTGCGGTCTGACTCTTGTGCTTGTCGTGACTTCACGGCCAGTCCTAGGGCCAACTGGTTTATGAGTGGATCACTTTCCCAGTCCTTAAAGCGAGAATCTTGGGCAATGGTGGTGGCTAGGTTGAGACTCACGAGACCAGGTTGAAGGGTACTTCTCTGCGTCTTCGTGGCGTGTAGGTCGCACAGAGATCTAGAAATATTCTTGTTTGGCCCTATGAAGAAGAAAACAAAGGTCACTTGATGATCAGGCGTCTTAACCTTATATTGGTACGCATACGACCAGTATGCCCTAATAAGCGTTCTTCAATGTGCTATTATAGAAGAATAAAAAAAGTGTCTGGTATAAAGCAATTAGTGACTATAGTCTCATGATTTCTCACGCATTACTGAAAACCTTGCAAGCCATGTGTAAATCAAATACTAGCTATAAGTTGATTCTTCCCGACCTGGTGCGACTGAAGTTGATTCGTCCCGACCTGGTGCGACTGAAGTTGATTCTTCCCAACCTGGTGCGACTGAAGTTGATTCTTCCCGACCTGGTGCGACTGAAGTTGATTCGTCCCAAACTGGTGCGACTGAAGTTGATTCTTCCCGACCTGGTGCAACTGAAGTTGATTCTTCCCGACCTGGTGCGACTGAAGTTGATTCGTCCCAACCTGGTGCGACTGAAGTTGATTCGTCCCAACCTGGTGCGACTGAAGTTGATTCGTCCCGACCTGGTGTGACTGAAGAGCACACAGCGATGATTTCTTCCATCCCTCCGTCTTCTGTCGTGAGGCCATCGGGCTCATCAGTGACTGTGTAATATGGGTGGCAACAGTCATGTCAGTAGTCGAGGGATACATTGAAGCTGCGTAATTAGCAAGTAGTCATGATCAGTTTAAAAGGTTGCGAGACAAGGGAGAAAATAGGTCATAGTGTCTACCCGAATCTTCAGGGAATGAATATTTAATAGCAGAATGGCAGGAGTAGCAGATGGGCTGCAAGGCGCGTCAGATGAACCAGCAAACAAAGAATCGGTAGGAGATAAACAGTCATTACACGTGTAGATGATGTACTTACCGTCATCATCTACCTCTGCGGTGTCTCTTGCTACCAACAGTGTTACATCAACGAAGAGGCCGGGTCCTTCCTCCTGTTTCATATCTTCTGTGATGAGTTCTTGTGTCAAAGTTTCCGACAACAGCCCATCCCGGTAGCCTCTCAGAAATGACTTCAAATGTGGGGTGTCATCAAACTCAAGAGTGCAGAGCACGCAGCCATCTTCAATCTTCGTCAAGATTGCACTGAACTTTTCAAAGCATTCCACCATCTTCTCATACATACTTTCTAGTCTTTGGCTTGAGAGCAGTACTTTGTTGAATTTCGTGATTTGGTTGGCAACTATTTTCTTCACCCGTAACTTTGCTTTGCAAGACAGTCTCTTGAAATGTGGGTACGATGCAACAAAATGTCGTCGGAAAACTGAAAATTTGCTTTCAAACATTTGAGGATCTTGAAGTACTTCTTCGTTGAAGATTTTATTACTGATCTCCAGTATGATGAAGTTCGAACTATCGTCATCTGAACCGCTCTCATAGGAATCTCCATTGTCTTGTGTACCTTGGTCCCCAAACACAGCACTAGGTGGTCCTGAATAAAGGTAATACCCGGTAAAGAAAATGTCATATACATTACACTGTCCCCATGTGTCTCTCTCTCTCTCTCATGTGTGCTGTATACTATTTATTGCTATCATGCTTGTAATGTGACTTGGATATGAAGGGACTTCGTTGGAAAAATGACTTTTTGATGTATGTGTTTTAGAATGTTTGTTCGATTTGCCCACCTTAACAATGTATTTCCCCACTAATTACTCGTCATCATCATCACTGCACATTAAACCTAGTGTTGTGGTTTGAGATCAAATTTTGTATTTTTTTTACTAATCGGCATTATATCTCATGCATGTTCGGAAATCATTACGTTTGAGGAAAATAAATCATACCTTTACGTTTGCAGATCTCAATGAACGTCCTTTCTGACTCCTCCCAGTATCTTGTATCCAAAAGATCCTTCTTCAAGTTTGCAGCTGTTTCAAACTCTTCCTTGCAATGCTCCAGGACCTTCTCAATGCGATCAGCCCAACGAGAGACATTGAAGTTCATTTTCCCATTGCCATGAATGTCTGTCTTGACAATACAATTGTGATAGCGTCGGGCAAACTTCTCGATCAAGTTTGCCAGTCCAGATTTGTCAGACACAAGAACCGGTACTCCAGCTGCAATGGCTTGCAGGCCAACGAACCCAAACGGTTCAGCGCAAGAGGGCACAAGGACCAGGTGGGCCTGCAGCATGTCTTTGAGGATGTCCTCCTGTGTACCGTAAGGGTCGAACGTTATCTGTAGATTAGTTGAGTTGCGGTGCCCAAGTATCGCATTTCTTGCTTTTTGATCTTCTTTGTTGACTCCTCTTACTCGAAGCGTGACTGACATCTTCTCCGCAACAATGCTTAAGGCCTTAACAGCAAGGTCAAGCCCATTAAGTTTCTCAACGCCTGTCACCCTACTGATGGAAAGGACAACCATTGTATCCGTGTCCTTGTATTCCGCATCTGCGTCTTCAAAGATACTGGAAGGCCGTGGAACAAACTTAATATGTTGAGGTTGCTTGCTGGCAGGTATAGCTCTGAATTGGTTCTTAAAGTGATCAAAGATCCTGTCTCCGATAGAGAAGACGACGTCTGCTTGTTCTGCATCTTTGAGGATTGAATCTTCCTTCTTCCCAATCCCCAAGGCCTTCTCATCTCCCTTGTATTGCTCGGTCTCCTCTGGTATATCGTCGATGAAGAGGATGGCTGTTGCCTCTGGACAACGGTCCTGTTTTATTCCACATGCTGCTCTGCTTGTGCCATCGGTGTGTCCTACGATGGTTTTTACCTTCTCCGGAAGATGTGGGTATTTGGCACGGTGGTCAAATGTCAGCCAGTGTAAACTTGGCTTGGTTCTTTCATCTCCTGATTCAACCTGAGGGAGTAGCAGTTCTCGCACCCCATCACTTTTGGCATCCTTCTTGTCCTCTTCGGTAGCTTCTAACACAGTGCTGAACACAGGGATGTCCGGTTCATGTTCCCTGAGTACTTGGGCCAGCCGACGGTATATGGAGGAGATTCCTCCTTTTAATGTACCGTACAATTCACTTAGCAGCAGCACAGCTGCATTATCTGTGCCCAAAGAGAAGTTCAACTTAAGCATTGGTAGCGTATCTACATTATTCATGAAAAAATTATTCTTTCTTATGTTGATTACACAGACTTAGTCAGCAAACGATGTAAATAAGACTAATTTATTTATTTGCATGTCCAACAAGAATTCGGAGACATCATACCTCCATACATAATATACATGTATGAGTTTTTACCTCCATAAAAAATGGAGGTATTGTTTTTGGCGCATCTGTCTGTGTGTCTGTCTCTGTGTGTGTCTGTCTGTCTGTGTGTGTGTTTGTGTTTCTGCACATTTGTACTATTGTAGTCAGCATAACTTCATAACGCCTTTATGGATTATGATGATATTTGGTATGTTGGCAAGTCTTAGGAAGACAAAGGTCAAGGTCAAATATGGGCCTCCTGGTGGATGACCTTGGTACTGCAGCAGAACTTCCGGTTTTTGTATCTTTTGTCCTGAACATGCTATGGTCTTGATGTTTTGGTGACAGATAGCTTTTCCTGTCAGGAATAAGTGGTGTGAGTTTGGTCTCCCTAGCAGCTTGTTCTGGAACTGCAGGACACTTTCTGGCAAAATGTTTAAAAGCCAATAAGTCCAGATAGGAACAACATATTTTCATCATTTTTGGTGTGTAGGTAGCTGAGAGAAAGATGTACATTATCAAATGCAAATTATGCAAATGAGGACTTTATTTGCATAATTAATGAGGAAATTCTATAATTACAGTGTTTTACATACTACTTTCATACATGTAATGTATGTAACCTATGAGTATGACAGGAAGAACATCAACATATACTAATTATGCAAATGATGACCTAATTTGCATAATTAATACGAAAATTCTATGATTTCTTAATGGTGAATGATGGGAATGTCATACTTGGGACATCTATTACAAGTTAATCAAAAGTTAACATCACGATGCATATATCATGTTAATGCAGAGGTCATTTGCATAATTAAAGAAGAAATTTACATTTACATATCAAGCCCATATTTCATGGAGGTATGAGCTCTCGGAACTCTTGTTTCAGATTGATTTTAGACGAAATTGTTGACACAACATCAGTTTCAAGAACGGTGTTTCTAGATCAACAATCTTAAAAACTAGTCTAGAGTTTGGAGACTAGACATGTTTAAATGAAATATTGCCAAAGGATAGGAGTTTGACACGCAAAATATTGTAAGTTGAGTTTAGAACACCATAAATTTAACTAAATCATATCAATTGCCACCTTATTTCCATATTCAATGAAACAAATCATTTACATAGACATATTTCATGGAGGTATGATATCTCGGAATTCTTGTTGTTATGTTAAATGCAGGAACTGGTCTCGCAGGAACTGCATTAGTGTCCTGCTGTCCACTATGAGGGATAGTTTATCTGTAACAATTCCTCTCCTCCACTTCATTTCAACATGTCCTCATTACCTCCATCAAAAATGGAGGTATTGTTTTTGGCATGTCTATCTGTATGTCTGTGTGTGTGTCTGTCTGTGTGTGTGTGTTTCCGCAACTTTGTGGCCAGCATAACTTCAAAATGGAGGTATTGTTTTTGGCATGTCTATCTGTATGTCTGTGTGTGTGTCTGTCTGTGTGTGTGTCTGTCTGTCTGTATGTGTGTGTTTCCGCAACTTTGTGGCCAGCATAACTTCAGAACGCCTTTATGGATTGTGATGATATTTGGTATGTTGGTAAGTCTTTGAAAGACAAAGGTCAAGGTCAAATATGGGCCTCCTGGTGGATGACCTTGGTACTGCAACAGAATTTCCGTTTTTTGTATCTTTTGTCCTGGACATGCCATGGTCTTGATTTTTGAGCAGTGGATAGCTTTTCCTGCCAGTAATAAGTGGTGTGGGTTTGGTCCCCCTAGTAGCTTGTTCTGGAACTGCAGGGGGGGGGGTTCTGGCAAAACCTTTCAGAGCATGAGCAGATAAATTCACAAAGGAACAATGTATTTTCTTGATTTTTGGTATGTGAGTAGCTTAGGCAGAGATCAACATTATTGGATGCAAATTATGCAAATGATGACTTCATTTGCATAATTAATGAGGAAATTGTGTAATTCCAGTGTTTTACATCATGGGTCTTTGATACATGTAATTTATAATCTATGCTATGGAAGGAGGAATATCACCAGATACCAATTATGCAAATACGGGCCTAATTTGCATAATTTATCTCAAAATTCTATGACTCAGTGGTAAATGATGGAAATTTCAAACTTGGAACATGTGTAAGTTAATAAAAAGTTAACATCACGATGCATTTATTATGTCTATGTAGAGGTCATTTGCATAATTAAAGAATAAATTTACATATTTCAAGCCCATATTTCATGGAGGTATGAGATCTCGGAACTCTTGTTCATTATGCGAATGACCTCTATATTAACAGAATCTACGTATGTTAACATTTAAGTAGCTTACATAAGGTATAAAATTCCCATTATTTACCAATAATGAATCACAGAATTTTCACATTAATTATGCAAATTAGGTCATCATTCGCATAATTGGTATCTGTCGATGTTCCACCTGCCATAGATTAAATGGATTACAGGTATAAAATCACTATATTTATATATAAACACTGTAATTGTAGAATTTCCTTCTTAATTATGCAAATTAGGTCTTCACCAAAACATGCCCAAAACAGAAAAAACGGTTCTGCTGCAGTACCTAAGACCTACCAGCAGACCAAATATCATCACAATCCATAAAGGCGTTAAAGTAAGAAGTTATGCTGACTACAAATGTGCGTAAACACACACACATGTACACACACAGACGCACCAAAACCAATACCTCTATTTTTCATGGAGGTAAAGATACAAAAACCGGAAGTTATGCTGCAGTACTAAGGTCAGCCACCAGGGGGCCCATATTTGACCTTGACCTTTGTCTTCCGAAGTCTTACCAACATACCAAATATCATCACAATCCGCAAACTTTAAGGCATTCTGAAGTTATGCTGACCACAAAGTAACGCGGAAACACACACACACATAGACACACGCAGAGACAGACACACACAGAGACACACCAGAAACAACACCAATACCTGCATTTTTCATGGAGGTATTGATTTCAGCACGAAATATCTATCGTCATAATCTGATGGGGGTATATGATATTAAAAATGACTTTGTGAGGCTGAAACAAAGCCATGAAAGGTAAAATAAGAATATATTGTAACACCTGGTATGGTCGGAGGTATTTGACCGCCGAACTCTACCGTTTACTAGTCGACCAGACCATCGAAGACTTAGCTGTAACATTTGTAGGAAATTGTGATCTTTCATTGCAAAAATTTACAATTAGAACCAAAAGGTAGAAAACGTACCCATATTGCCCTACTGTTGTGTTGGTGGCGGGTTCGGCATGTACTGCTGTGTGGAAATCATCATCATCATCTGGCGACTGCATTACAGCAGATGACCGTGAGTTAGTCCCTCCAGTTAGTCCTGTGTAGAAATATTGAAGACTGGTCAACTTAATATTCTAGTCAACTTGACAATTACCATGATCGTATAGGTCCGTAAGATCGTTTTTGCGTAGACAAACTTGAAGTTCATCATATGTACATTAACACTATATACGCCAATAGTTTTAGCATAGATACCTTCTTGACTAATATATAACTTCAAGAAATGCCTTTCTTGAGATAATTTTGCTGATTTTAAGAAATGCCTTTCTTGAGTGGGTGAGTGGGAGGGTGAGTGAGTGAGTGTGAGTGAGTGAGTGTGTTGGTGAGTGAGTGAATGGATGAGTGAGTTAGTGAGTGAGTGAGTGAATGGATGAGAGTTAGTGAGTGAGTGAGTGAGTGAATGAGTGAATGGGTTAATGGATGAGTGAGTGAGTGAACGAGCGAGCGAGTGGGACTGCTTTGGCAGGTGGGCGGATGAGTGGAAGGGTGAGTGAGTGAGCGAGTAGGATTCGAACCTGGGACCCCTTGGTACTGAGCCGAACACGCTACCTTTTACACCATACAAGCCCACAAGTCTGTAAACCTATACAGTCACATACGTCATGCAACCTAGTGCCCTTCACTGCTTTGATGACGTCAATACAAAATTTATGATACCCTGATTTTGTGTTTCATATGGAGTAAGTTGGTCTAATGGAACTTCAGGGGTCGAAGTCTGATATGGCTATCAAGTCTGAATTAAATATATATAAGGTTGATTGAAATAAAATGTGTCTAAAAGCGTCTTGCCTGCCTAAGTGTACCTTACCTTGCAACATTACTGTTTTTGTGACCCCCACTTCCCTAAACTGATATATAACCTTTAGTCGTGAGATGTCGGCAATTACTGGAATGTTGTGGCTAATACCAAACGAGGGAGATTCCTAACCGAAGCTAGCTACTCATTTGTTTGAAGTGAGGAAAATTGCGTAAAGTGCCTTTCCCAAGGCCAGGGCACAAGATCGGTGACAAGGAGTATGGTGGGGTCTTGTGGCGTAGCGGCAGCGTTCTCCACTCGGAACCAGAGGCCCCGGGTTTGAGTCCTGACATGCCACCGATCTTGTGCCCTTGGGAAAGGCACTTAACACGACTTTCCTCACTTCACTCAGGTGTAAATGAGTATTGTCCTGTCATGTATTTGTCCCCTGTGTTGGTGGCGGCATTAATATAAGTTGAAAAAACTTGAGTGTGCCGTCATCACGTCTTGCGATTACATGTTTCGGAATATAAAAAAAAAAAAAAAAAAAAGGTGGGGTTCGAACCCGCAACCTAGCTCTGAGCTGAACCCACTACCGATTGCGCCACATGACCCCTGTGTTAGAAATAGTACCCATCTGCAGACAGTTTGCATTTTGTAGAGACATTTTCACACAATTTCAGTATAATTTTGAAAAAAAAAAATTAAGCAACCTGCAATTTTGCAGACTGGAAAAATCAGGTTAGGAGCTCAATACATAAATATTGTTTCAGAGTTTTTGTGTTCACTACTGACTCACTGATATACTTTTAAATTCCTTTTAAATTGCATGTAAAATGTTTGCCAACATGCAATTTTGTACAATACTATATGGGTTTAGGTCTGGACTTGTAACTCTTATGTAACAGTGGGGGGTTTATAGGCGCTACCAACTGACCCGGCCGATGGGTCTAGACCTTTTAGCGGAGTGGTTAGAGCGTCTGAGGTAATATACACGCAGTCATATTTTCCTCCAGTTCCTCACAAAAAACTTCAAACCCCTTGTTCCAAACATAATAAGGCCACAGCAAGTAATTTTTATGGATGACATCAGCGCGCGCATTAATTTTTGCCTGATTTTGGAGAAAAAAAAACAAGAAATTTTGTTGTCTTCTGACAGTGGTGAACATGCCGGAAATGGGCAAAGATATCTGTTGCCATGCCGGTAGGTGGATGACAGATAACTATGAAAAGAGGAGACAAGAAAAGGCTCTGATTTAATGTTTTGTTTCTTACTTTGATGCAGTGATATGTGATGCTGACTATGTATATGTAAACTGAATAAACTGAAACTGATGTTCCGACTGAATAAAAACTAGTTGTATAATGATTGAGTCAAAATTTTAAAATGTAGGAACCTTGTTTTTATCGACCCGCCTTGTTTTTTTTGGCCGCTCGCATTAGATCTGAAGTCTGCGGAGGATGTAATCCATAAAATTTACATGCTGTGGCCTAAATTTTGCGACAGGTGGGGAGGGGGGCAAAACTGGCCCATGTGAGTCGAGTTTTACACGTTGATTTCACACGCCAAACACTACACAAAGCTTGTTGTCATAAGTTTCAAGTATTCCTGTATGTTCCTTATTCGCTCCCACGTACCTAGGTTGACGGTGAGTTCCTTCCATCGCTGGTGAGAGCCCAAGTTTAGCGGAACCTCGCAGAAACTCAGCGCACGTCCCGCCATATTTCACACAAAACGCACGACGGGAAGGCAACTCTCCACATGCAGGGACGACACCTAGCGATTTTTCGTGCCACTGCAGTACAACGAGCTCAGTATCGTATGCCACCTGTTGAATGTTCGCCTTTGCTAGTCTCTACGGTACCAGGCTTCGGGAGGCGGCTGGAAAGAGTAGAAATCGGCCAAATAGAGAGATAGCATGCCAGGGGAGTTGGTCTGCCA